TATTAATATTATTATTATTATTATTACTATTATTATTAATTTACTATTTATATTTTGTTTAAATATTAAATTTGTACTTCAGAGATGTGTAAAATGAAAATTCAGGTAGCTCAAATTGTCAATTCATAAATTCCTCTTCTCCACGAATCTGTTTCATCGAAAATTATTTTCTTTCGTTAATATTCAACAAATTTTTTGGACTCTTCAAAACGAGTCATTAAATTAAATTACCCCCGATATTAAATGTCTTTCAATTATGTTCGTTATTTAAATTACACGGCGAGCAATATTAACGGTACTCGTTATACACTATCTTCGAGAATGTCACTTCATAAGATTAATTTCTGAATATAGAAACTCCATAAAAATTCTTTTCAACAGGTAACAGAGGAATGTGATTGATCGACGAGAAAAATAACATCGAAATTGTTATCAGTGTTATAAGAAATTACATAACTACTCCGGAGAGATCTTGAAGTTTTTGACAAAAGGAAATATCTCAAGTTTACATTCAATTTAATCTAAAAAGTAATGTAAGAAGCTTGATAAATTTCATTCGATGAAATTAATGTACCTGACTATTCGAATGCTAGATTGGAAACCAAAAGCAATTGTAAATACAACTGCTACATCTAAAATTAATTTTCATTCGCATTAGAACTACAAAGAGTCTAAGGAAGATGAATGAACGAACGCATTCGATATTAATCATAACCTAGTGGCAGATTATACCGTTCTATCAACAAAATCCACAAGATATATCACTGAGCAATATTGTTTTATTGCATAGGATTCACAAGTTTTTAGTAAATCGTTTTAATATTTTAGTGTGCACTCATTGCATTATACATTTATTTATTTATACAGTAATTAATAAATAATAGAATGACAATAATAGAATATACAAATATTCTACACTATATATTTATTTATTTATACAGTGTAGAATATTTGTATATTTAGTATCATTCTATTATTTATTAATATAGTATAGAATATTTATTTATTTCACTTCATTTAATTATTTATTAATATAGCAATTAAAGAATATAAGATATTTATTAATTTTATTTAATTTCATTACTCAATATAGTATTAATATAGTATAAAATATTCATTTACTCGATTTCAATTTACTATTTATTATTATGATTTCATTATCAATTAATATAGAATTAATGTAGTACAGAATGTTTGTCTATTCAAAATAATTGCAAACATTATGAATTTATTACTAAAATATTGAACGTTAACCCCTTGTACCAAAAATATTTTCGTTCCATCTACCTACACTCTAATACACTTCCTAGTGGAAGATTTTTTTAAACTAACAGTTTTGTTTCAAAATCAAAACAATTATAAACACACGTGAATCTATAAATTCATATTTTACAGAAAATACGTGTATATATACATATAATATAATTCACGAAACAACAGAATAAAAAAGAATATAATAAGACATATGAAATAAAGAAAAAAGAAAAAAATATATATATATAATTGTGCCTATAATTATAAAAGTGGTATAAGTCAATTGAGTATAGAAATAGACATTTTAAGGAAAAAGCAAATAAAAAGAAAATATGATTAATTGCGTTGAAAATAAAGAAAGCTATGGTCAGGATGAAAATTTTCTAAATTATTTACCTGTAATACTCATGAAATTAACAACGTATTAACAATATCACAGTTTAAACATTCGAAATATCGAAATTAAATAAGGGAATGTCTAGAACTAATGATTCCATTGAACGAATTATCGTATCGAAAGAAACCCTTTTCCAATCCAAAAATACATTCATACAAAAATTAAATTGATGTGTAATATATGTGCCTGTGATTATGAAAGTGGTCAAAGTCACTTACATTTGCTTCTGAAATATTAAAAGCTTCGGCCTTTAAATACGTCATAAATTATAAAATTAATTGCGATAAAGCTGCAAGCTCAACCTAACGATTCAATTCTTCACTGTTTTGTAGAAAATAAATATATTTTATCGTAATATAAATGAATACCGAACGATTCAATTCTTCACTGTTTTGTAGAAAATAAATATATTTTATCGTAATATAAATGAATGCAACACGAAATAAATAATAAAATCGTTCCTCTTAAGTCGATGGCTTAAACCACTTTCATAATTATAGGCACAATTGTAGTCCATCTATGAGGGTGTATATGAAACAATGCAGTGAAAAGAATATAATAAGACACAAGAAATAACGAGATGAAAAGGTGTAATAAAACACATGGGATAACGAAATAGAAAAGAAAGAAAACGAAAGGAAGAATAGCAATAATGATGTAGATAATTAATACAACTGACATACCCTTCCGACGAAGAATCGCCTATAGCATTTGGCCGTATCATCTTGGTCTATCCTGGGTTGCCATGCAGGCTGCGCCGGAAGTAACGCCCTGCCAGCTGAGTCCAGGGCGTGTCGATGATCGGTACCGTCGACCCAGTATCCAGGCGGTATCACCACCAGAGGTGGCTGAGATCCGGAAGTGGCTTGCTGAAGCGCAGCCTCCATAAGAGCCCTGCCAACGGGTGCATCGCCGACCGGTGACGGGGACGGTGTGGGTGTGTGATTATTCTGATTACCAGGACTCGATGCTGCCCTGTCCTCCCTCGGGGTCTGTAATCACGGTAGGCCAGTTCGATATCAGCTCAAATTCACCTCGGACCGTCCAACGTTTTAAAAGCCTTTCCAGAATTTTAAATTTTACTGTCTGTAGCTACATGCTCGCCATATATCGACTCTCCACTATTCCTATAATCCTAATTTTCGCGTTCCATCGTCTCTCATAATCTTTCAAAGGGCTAATGCACAGGCTGGTCTTTTTTCTCAGTTGCGAACGGTGGAATATCTTTTAAAGGGTTTAAGCTGTCTGAGAAATTATTTCGTATAAAGAAAGAAGATATATATATATATATTTTAAGAATTAATATTTTTCGATGGCAGTATAGACGTTTCTGTTTGTATTCGATACGGTGGAATTTATTCAGCCAGCGACATGCTACTGACGATATTTGGTACGAGGAAGATAATTAACCGTGATAGAAAATTCTTAAGGAGTCCTATAAACACGGACTGCCAGATGGTACTCGTATGGCAGCTTGTTTTGAAGAAAATTTCCTTTTGTTATGTGTCTGAAAATTCTTGTTTAGTCTCAGGGACTGGATAGAATCAAACACGCTTCTAGAACTGCTAATTTTAGGTTAATTATTTATGACGGCACTAACCAGATCTACATCCGGTTTTGATAACACGGTATATTACACATGATTGCGTGTATTGTAATAATATATACAATTAATATTGTATTATATATTGTAATATTGTGATAAATACTATAATGTTGCAATATATATTGTAATATTATAATAAATACTATAATATTATAATATATTTTGTAATATTGTAATAAATACTATAACATTGTAATATATATTGTAATATTGTAATAAATACCATAATATTGTAATATATATTATATATTACACATACATATAACAACATAACTTTTTATTCATGAATATGTATAAAATTATTCATTAAATTTTATTTAATTATTTTATTTTATTTACCACATTAAAATTATTTAAGAATTATGTATTATTATATAGAAACATATATTATATAAATCAATTTTGATATTGTATTATATATTTATATAAGATAAAATATGACACAATACATTATATCATATACAAAAATAATATATATACATAGATTGCATACTGCAATTTGATATATATTATGTATATTAAATTTAGATATATTAATATATATAACATAATATATATTCTTTCTGCATTATGTCATACAGATTTTTACATAATATAATGTACGATGTTTCAATGTATAATATATAATATATATAACAATATTTATATTGTATTATATCTTTATATAATATAAAATATGACACAATACATTAAATCATACACAAAAATAATATATATACATATATTGCATATTGTAATATGATAAGTATTATCATTGGAAAAGCTTCTTCGCGTCGATATGAAGAATCTTTAATACCGCCTACCACAAAATTGTGTCTCAAGAAATTTACATAACCTGCTTCCCTTTTCGATTATCTTTCAACCTACTAAAGCATTATCGACAATGCTTTTTGCCACACGCGAAGAATTTCTCTGCTCCTTTAGCACCATCGCCCAGACAAAATCAGCGATGAATCATTTGATTCGCGAAAACTAATTAAGGTAAAACATGCGTTAAATAAGTCGATTATGGCAACGGCTTGGCCTCCTCCTACCTCACAGCCACGAACACGCTGAGCAGTTTTAAATATGCGATCAGTCAACATCGAAAGAGAACAATCATGATGCGTAAGTCATTTATTTCCACGATGTACAAGCTAACTGTACATTACGCGTACTTGCTACGAAACTTTGCCCAAACGGTTTTGTTACCAGCGTGGACCTAACAATAATTTCTCTCTTCCTCTCTTTCCTTTTCTACTATTTTCTTCCTCCTTTTTATTTCTTTCGAGTATTATTAGAGTACCCCGGCTGACGCGAACTGCTGCTTTATACGCGGTAGGGGTTTTAATGAATTTCATTTGGCACTGTTACCAACCATACAAGGTGGTCCTGGTACCATTAACGCGCGCAACTTCTTATACACTCGCTTTCTACGTTTCTTTATCGCGCCACCCCTTTTACGGAACTTTGAATAGTTTCGGTTACATAAAGAACCAGAATAGGATGCGGGGAATTAATGCCAGCTACACGGTGCAACGTATGCGAGCGGATGATGTAACAAACTAATTAAAAGTAAATTGATGAAATTCCATTTTTCGCCGCTACTTATTCATTAGGGAAATATAACGTTTATTCGTTTCAGCGTGGCTGGTACATAACGCGAGTCTATGACGGAAGTGATTTTTCTGAATGAAATTTATGTAAATAGACGTTAGTGTAGATTACCATACTATGGGATATTATAATTGTAGGCTGTTTCACGTTTTTACGCTAACGAATCTCTTTAAAATATTTTTCCATCGACGAATATTTTATTTTTGTTATTTTCGCTATATACATTATGTACTGTATTTATTATTATTATTCATTTATTACATTATTCAGTATTATTATTGATTATTATTATTCTTTGTTATTACTATATTATTATATTTATTGTAGATTTTATATCATTGTTATCATTTCTGTTGTACTATTGTATATATTACACCGATTATAGTAATAAATATATTATTGTATTTATTACTGGTAAATATTGAAGGTATCTTATATTATTATTATTTATTATTACATATTATCATTATAATACAAGTATTCATATATTTATTTGTATATTATTATTTACTGTTAATACTATATTCTTACTATATTTATTGAAAATTTGATATCATTATTATTATCTTTTTTACTGCATTATTGTTATATATTATACCGATTATACTAACAAATATATTACTGTAAAATATTGTAAATATCTTACATTACTGTTATTTATCGTTATTTATTACCATTATAATGCATATACTCAAATATTTATTTCTGTTTATTATTATTTATTGCTACTATATTTATTGTAGATTTTATAGCATTATTATTATCATTTGTATTATACTATTGTTATATATTACACCGATTATGGTAATAAATATATTACTGTATTTATTACTGGTAAATATTGTAAGTATCTTACATTATTATTATCCATTGTTGCATATTATCATTATAATGCACATATTTATATATTCACATTTATTATTTATTTTCATGTATTACTACTACACGTATATTTCCATATTTATTCCTACTATATTCATTGCATGCTCCTTCTGTTATTATTTATTATTATTATATACATATTGTTATATATATTCCTATATTTCGGGGTTGCACTAATTATATATTTAAATTATAAATCATACTTTATCTTTCTCTGCGTACTCATCTTCCTTATATTCCTCAGATATTATACATTACTATTCATTATTATAAATTATTATATTTACAAAATGTTACATTTATTCATTACAAAATATTATAACTCGTTACTATTATATACAGGCCAATTATATTACTTTTAATAGTAAATCAGTCCGTGCACGCACTGCCTGGAAATACTAAAGCACCAAAGGAATGATCGATCAATACCATCATCGCTTACCCGCAGACAAAATCTATCAACGAGAATATCCCACGTTCCGCAATACCGAACAATTTTTCCGTTAGTCTTAATCTTAATCTAATGGAATAAAAATAAACGGCTAAGTAATGGCGGGCGCAAGTAATGGCGCGAAACAGGAGAAACCCGGCTCGAATGTAATTCGCGGCAATTACACAACTTTTACTCAACTATGTAATCGCTTTAAATTCCTGACGTATGCGAGGGGGATCGCGTTACTATATCTAGCGTACCGTTTCATCGTGCCTTAGCCGCGGCGTTACGTAAAGAAAAGAACGCGCTCTGGTGCAATTGCGATCGCGTCGCAGCACCGGCACCAATGGGATCGATCGATCCACCGGAAGTGCAATCCTAGGGAATCGCGCGGCGTCTTCGAATGATTCCGCGTGCCCGTGAGACCAGAACGATCGAATGACCTCGAAGATCATGCGGATGACGAGGCGACTACGTCAATGATTATCGATCAACGCGAATTTCGCATAGCTTATGCGTATACCGGGTGTTACTGTGCACGAATAATCGCGATTATTAGGAAATTCTCCTAATTCGTATATATTTTAGTAATTTTATATTAGCACTTATGTATCACGTGTATACATTATGTGTTATATAATTCGCAAATATTTATAAGTTATTATATAAATTATATGTAATTTGTATACCAAGTACGCGTAATAAATTATAAATAAAATATAAATTTATATTTGAGCCGTTCAGTGCACAAATCGATTAACTTCGCTTTTTAAAAAATCTGAAATTTTTTACCACATAGATAAGAAACACGTGAAACTATTTTAATTTTATAATAAATATTACTTTCTTTATGGGTTTACAAATGTTCATATACAGTTCCATTATATATGGAGAAAATTTTGTAGAAATTATACGAATGCTAATAAATTATTCTAAATTATATTAATCCTCTGCAGACAAACGTCTAGATATACACGACAAAGTATTTTTGTGTATTTATTAAATCGAATGCTGAATTATTTATCAGCAAAAGATAATTATACTACAATTAATTACAATTACAATTAATTTTTAAAATTAATATAATTTTAAATACAATTTTTACTTACAATAATATATAAATTTAAATTTTTAATATAAATTTAAATATAAATTTTACTTGTAATTAATTTTTAAAATTAGGAAAATAAAATTATTTTAGCTACTATTATTATTATTAATAATTTAAAAATTATTATTATTATTACTTCATTCTGTGAACCTAATATAATAATTAGAAAATAAAATAGCGAATACTGTTCATTTAGATTAATGTTAGAAGAATATTTTATCAAATCCAACAAATTTGTAATGTACGAATGGAGAAAATAAAATTATTATAGCTACTATATTATTCTGGTAGAACAAAAACTAACGTAAGTGTTAAAAATCATAATTGAAAATCGAGTATGAAATATTAAGGTACTAGAATTCTT